CAATGCTGTTTCCATCCCATACCCAGGCCTGAATCCCGACTGAAAGGGATCCAGATAATCCGCTTCATGTGAGGTCCTCTGAAGCTATTGCGCACCACCTTCTCAAATCACCTTCCCCAAAAAGGGGAGGTAGGATACTGGATGAAAATTGTCCAGTATAGTGAGGTCTAGAGATGGCCTCTTGAGGAGGGGGTGAACCAAGCCCTCCTTAAGAGGTGAGGGAACAACCCCCTCACTCAAAGATGCATTAACCATCGCCAGAACCCACTCAGACATCACCCCCCGGGCTGCTTTTACAAGCCAGGAGGGGCATGGATCTAAAGAGCAGGTGGCTGAGCTCACAGCCCAAAGGACCCTGTCCACTTCCTCAGATCCAACTGGTTCAAACCATTCCCAGATAACAGGGCAAGACTCCTCCCTAGGCACCTCGACTGGACCTGAAGCAAAGCCAGCATCCAACTGAGAATGAATCCGAGTGATTTTACCTGACATATGCGGATAAAATTCCTCCTTGCGTCCCTGCAGAGGGTTCTCTGAGCCATCCTTACCCAGGAGGGCTCATGTCACCCGAAACAGGGCTGCGGGCAGCTATCTGCAGATGCAATAAGAGTGAAGGAGTAATGACGCTTCACCACCCTTATCGCCACTAAGTAGGCGTAAATAGCTGCTCTAACCCGTGTTCAGTTGAGTTCGTCCCTTGTTGAGCACCAGCAACACTCTAGACATCTCTTCTCTCACTTCCTCTCCCTTAACTCTTCCGCAAACCACGGAGAGTGCCAGGATCCCTGAGAGGAGAGAGGTTGCATGGGCGCAATCCGATCCAAAGCTTCCGCTGCCCCTTTATTCCAGGCTACCAAGGCTTCAGATGGACCGTGCAGCAGACCAACAGGAACAACCCCAGCTCCCTCTGGAACCCATCCAGGTCCATTAGTTGTTGGGGGTGGACCATTCTAATAGGTCCAGCCTCCCTGCAGCGGATAGTGGTGCTAGGGAATCCCATTGTAATCGGAGTGATCTGACCATGACAAGGGGGACAGCAAAAGCTCCCCCAATTTCAGATCACATAGCCACTGCTCCAACAGGAACACCAGATCAGGTGTATGACCACTGTTCCATGTCAGGCTCTGGATGATTTGGGATAGGCCCATGGCCGTCATGGTGGCCATGAATTCCCGAGCCCCCTCAGATCACATCCCTAGAGAAGGCAAATTGAAGTCCCCCAAGACCATAAGCCTGTATATGTAGACCTTCTTCACCTTTCCCCTTTGTGACCTTCCAAAGCCTTCTCACTTTGCATCTAGCTTCTGTTTTTTTAAAACTACCTAGCTTCAACAAAAAATAGATAGCCACAGTTTAGAGTCTGGCAATAATGTGGAACTGTAGTTAGTCTAAAATGTCACTTAAGCCAGAAGGGAGGCAGGCATAGTACTATAGTCTAAAATGTCAGTTAAGCCAGAAGGGAGGCAGGCATGGTTAGGTCAGTGACTAACAACTTGACCAAAGTCCCATTAATTTCAATCAGGGATTCAGCTCATTAACCAAAGCAATATACTTATTGAATTATTTACTCAAGAAGTATAAGTATTTAAAGTATATATTAAAGTGTATGAGTGTTATATTTATATCCTAGCCTTCTTCAAGCAGATCAATGTATCACTCTCTACATTGTTATGGTCACAATAACTGTGAAAGGGAAATAAGTCTTTGTAATTATGAGTCCTAAATCATTTAATGAGTTTCCTGAGTGTGGATTTTGAGCTCAGTTCTTCACATTTTTAAGTACTTTGACCTTTACAAGAATCTAGATTAAGAATGTTACATTTATCAATGTAAAAGGATGTTTGGTTTCTTTTCTCAGCCCTGTAATGGAAGCAGTGTGCGGGAACGTTCAGCCAAGATCTTAAGGCTGCCTCAAGAAGGAAAGGCCTGTCCTTCTACAGTGGAGACAGAGCCTTGCCATCTGAACAAAAACTGCTATCACTATGATTACAATGTGACAGGTACTGATGCTGATTAAGTACTGGTAGATGACAAGTGGGGCCTGAAAGAAAATATTGCAGTCAGCCAGACATAGTTAGTCTCTTTCCAAACAGCCAAACGTACCATTTTTCTGCCCTGATTTCCTATCCTGATGGTTTTCTATTACATCCCCACCTCCAAATTCTCCCACCATTCTGTGTCTGGTAGGTGAATTATTCCTCATTCTGCATTAGGCTGTTTTGATTCCCTCCGAAAAAACATACAGTTGATAGATTTCCTCCATATAGAGTTGATGCTGGTTGGTTGGTTGGTTTCCAGTATTTCTACAAATTGTGAAGTTCTCCCAAACTTCCCTGTGCTTCCTTTTGTATCTGGATAGTTTTATTCTGGATCTGAATTCACAGGTAGAGAACTAAGTTCACTATCAGAATATAGGATACACTTTTCCACTTTCTTTGTATTTCTTCTGATCTTTGAGAGTCGAAAACAAACATTGTTTGGGGCTGGGATGCCCAACTATTTTCAAGCTAAGAACTATATTAGGCTTAGAGTGGTATTCTGAGAACCACAGTCCAGAGGAATAGGAGGTGTCTAAGATAATGACGTGTGGAGATAGAACAAAAAATGAATTATATCCAATTTAATTAAAATTACATTAATTAAATGTAGTTCCCCTGTGTTTCATAACATTTCCCCTATTTCCTGTTAAAAATTATAATGGGGTCTGAGGTTGTGCTTCTCTGGATTTGAGTACTATTTTATGCACTCTTACAAGGCGGTAAATGCCATAAAGTCAGCATGCACAGGATTGCACATACTTTTTGCAAACTTAATCACACTTATTTGAGAGGCTGGTTGAGTGTATATTAATTTCATTGCTTCGTTCATCACTTGTAGTGTTCTTAGGAGGCTGACATAAGAATTCCACTCTAAGTCATCTGCATCTTTTAAAAATGAAAGAAAATATGAGGGAGGGAAGAAGACAGGTTATTGCATTCTACTGCCGTTTGATACAACACATAGGAGATCTTTCTCACTGGCCACTGTTCTTGTTTTCTTTCCTTCCTTTTAAGACTGGAGCACATGCCAGCTAAGCGAGAAAGCTGTTTGTGGTAATGGGATCAAAACAAGAATGCTTGATTGTGTTCGCAGCGATGGCAAGTCAGTTGACCTGATGTATTGTGAAGAGGTAGGTGAATGCTTTTCCTTGTTCTGTGGTTGTAACCCATCATCCATAAAGCTTTCCCTTCAGTGCATGTGATCAGCCCTGTGACAGATGTTTCTCAAAGCTATTCAGGGACTGTTATGTACCCAATAAATGAGCTTTTGTCATGATCAGTGATTTTGTCATTTAATTCCCTCTGTTTGCTTAAGTGAGTGATCACAAAGTTATGCTATTTTTCCCCCCTCTCCTGAAGTAATGGTTTGGGAACAATAAGCCATCAAGGTGAATAAGTATAATAAATCTTAATTGGAATAGTAATCATTATTTTAATCCGGAGTGATTCCTTTGTAACCATTTGATCTTCTGCCAAAGTGCATTTCTTTTTTTCTCTCTCCGTCTGTCTGTCTTTTGGGGTGCCATTTTTCCAACTGTAAATTGTTTGGCATTTTTGTGAATTTGGAAAAAATGCCTATGCAAAAACGTTTGGGGATCTGAAAAAGTGGACCCTGCACCTACAGGAAAATGCTAGGAAGAAAAAAAAATGTTGGGGGTCAGTGAACAATCTGAAACTTCATGAAGAAGTTGATGAGCTGAAGTTTTGGGACCCCTGAGTTAGACCAATTCATGAGATTATTTATTTTGATCAAATTTAATGTACTTCAGTATGAAACTGAATCAACTGGCATAAAATAGGAAGCTTTTTTTTTTTTCAAAAGGCTGTAGATTCTTCCAAGGAAAGTAAGAACAGCACAGCAACATTTTAGTATTTCTCTCAATGTGTTAAAAAGCATAACCATAGCTAGTATGATTAAATGTTCCTCACTGTGTCATAAAAAAGTGGACTTCCTCAGTCATTTTTTTTAAAATTTTAGAACAGAAATAGGTTAGCCACTGACCTCAATTAAAATTTTTGGAGAATCAAAGGTCACAGTGGATGGAGTGATGGGGAAAAGTGGGACCAGAATATTCTGGGAGGGGTTTTTTTTTGTTTTTTCCCCCTGAGTTGTTTTGGGGAGAGAGATTTTTCCTTGTTTTTTTAACTAAGTTATATTAGGGATCACCCAACCATCCTTGTGTAATTCCCACTTAAAATGGCAGGAAACCATATCACTGATTTTTGGCAGCTGTGGTTGGAAGAAGCACTAGAAGCCACAAAAATGGAGTTTGGAGGCTTCCTGTGACTGCGGGCAGGGCTTCATTTTCCTGACCCTGATTTTTTTTTAAAAAAGATTCCCACTCAGGCCCAGCAATCCTCATTTCAGCACCCTATTTTTATATAAATTCACTACAGTTACAAGTTGAATGGGAAAGAGAATACCCAAACTTTCTTCATTATGAAAGTTAAGCACACACACGGGCTAATTTGTGCATACTGCAAATGCAGCAAGTCTATTTTAAAGTCTCAGAAAAAAATCTTTTGGATGTTTCTAATAATTCCGATGGAAGCTGTTAATTTGTATAGATGAGTGTAAGGGGTGTATATGTGTATATGGGTGAAGCTGGTGAGGACAGTAACCAGAGGTCTCAGATGAAACAATCATTGTACAACTGTTGAGCAGGTCCCTCTCAATCACGGCTGGAAAGAGAACTGTACTATTTTCTACAGCCTCAGAGATGTGGAAGGAAAAGGCCTAAAATGTAAACCGTGCAGCAGATACAGATATAGGACTTAATTTCTGTGTTCTGCAAGCAGCAGATCTTTTGTGCATATATGGCATCTATCTCGTCTGCAATAATGCAACATACATAATCATGTTGTGTCTGTGAAGCTCTGCTGTAAGCAAGTTCCCTGAAGTGGAGTGTCTGGAAAGCTGAGATTTATTGCTGTGCTTGGCATGAAATCTAACAGCATGTAGGCATATGTCTCCAAACAATACTTAGCAATTGGCTTCTGTTGTATTATTTTATATTGCTTATTTAATGAGACAGGATTCAAAGTGTATCTCTTAACATGGCTATTTGAAAAGCACGAATGCCTTTTCTGAAATTATAAGGAATTTATAATTAAGTGGGAAGCCAAAACAATCATTCCTTCCCATAAAAGAAAAAAAGCAGTGTTTATATCAGCAACTAGATTAAGTGGTATTGAGCCATTTTGTCTCCTGCACATTATAATTTAGGATCATTATTTAATATTCAGCTTTCCATTCTTTCATATTACTTGTTTTCTGGGGCACTTTTTTCTGTCACACCCAACTGTAAGCAAGAGACCTGGAAGTCTTGATTTTTTCTACAAAATACCTACTGCCTTAAGATGTCTGGACAGAATAGAGCAATGTTTCTTAAAGTGTGGTCCTAGGATCCCTGAGGGGTCCCCCTAGACCCTCTCAAGGGTCCTCGAAATCAAAACTATTTGCCAGATATTGAAGATATTTGCAAAAATTTTAAACAATGACACTCTTTTTTTGTTGTTAAAAAGCATAGGGTTTTTTCAAGAAAAATATTTTGTTACAGGTAGTCCTCAGGTTACAGTGGCATTTGGGACTGGAATTTCTGTTGCTAAGTGACGTGGTCATAAAATGTGACATCATGTGACCACATCGCTTAGCAATGCCAATTCTGGCAGTCCCGGTTGCTGTCATTAAGTGAGGGCTGCCGGGTTGTTAAGTGAGGACCTCACATCTCTGACCCCTGTCCTGCATTTGGCCCCAGAAGTGGTTTTATGCAGATCCTGCTATTCTGCTCAACTGTGCTGCTGAATTTCAACTGTGCTATTGCTGTGACATGATTTCTGAACCACTTGGAGGTAGGGAACACATGATAATTATACAGTAAGCCCTAAAATATGTTTAATGTATTTTTCCTCAACCCTTGGAAAAGCCAGACTGCTGCAGAAGATGGAGGAACAGCATGACAAAAAAACTCCTTTTCCAATTCCTCATCTAAATAATGGTTTCTCCAATAAAAAGATACCTTGAAATATTTTTGAAGCATTGCCGCCGTAATCCAATTTTTATTTTCCAGAGGAAAAGCATTTATTATTTCTAATTTCCATTTTAATTAAGTAATAGAATGCTCCTCAACTAAAATTCAGTCCATAAATCTCTTTTATATTAACTCAAAGCAAATCTGTAAACTTTTTAACCAACCCAGTGGAATGCCTACACAGACATAGTAACATGAGCATTGGAACATATTCAGTATATTTTGACAATTTCCCAATGGATTATTCATGATCTGAAATTTCAAAATTTCAGTCAATTATAGAAAATAGGTGGCAGGAACTACCAAGCTGTTCCCACTAAGGAAGTGGGGCCAGCATATGATGACCCCAAAGCCTTTGGGGAGAGAAGGTTTGGGTCTCCTGTGCTCCACTTCATAGGTTTAGCTGGCTTCCTACGCTTACACTACAGATCAGAAGAATTTAACCCAAACTTCTTTTTTTGCCATTCTAAATCCCTCTTGTGAATAGTATACATGTTTCACTTTTTTTCTTGAAGTATGGGTTCATATCAGTTTTAGCCACTTTTCAACTTTGTTCTGATTTCTTGTTAAAGACTATGCCAGTTCACAGTTTTTAGCTGGATAACAAACTTCCTTTCTGCATGATGAAGTGACTTTTTTCAACCTCCTTTCTAGCCAACCTTGGCTAGAAGGTGCTTCACAGGCTGAGCAGATTGGACCTGATTAAAGTTGGATGAGATATAATCAGGAAATTCCAGGGCTGTCAAATAGATTGGGATGTAAAAAAATAGAATCTTAAAAGAAGGCAGTGGCAAACAGCTTTTCTGATGTGGCCAAGATAGTTACATACATTTGTTCATACAATCACAACGAGTTGAGGTCAGCTTGAAGGAGGTTCTGCCTTCCTACAGATAGATTTTAGTCTTGTGACTGATTCAACCTCATGAAAAAAAAAAAATGGAAATGAATGAGAAAGCATTCTAATTTCCTATGACATTCTTCTGTCAACTTGCTGTTCTGGAGACCTCAGCATAAATTTGCTGACCAGAATTTAACAAGAAGTTTATTTTGACCTATTTACCTTGTGTGGAAGCTGTGGCTTTGTCATACTAATGATTGTATTACTGACCCCTAATTCTGGATCTCAAGGCCAGAGCATGGGGATGGGGAGGGATCATTTTGCAACCAGGATCACATTTTGTTTTGGGTTTTTTGTTGATGTCGTTGTTGAGGATCATGGGAAAATGATGTTGATGTGATGACTGTAATGGGCAATGCTGAGCAGCCCTTCTTTTAGCCCTTTTTTTTTAAATTGCATCATTGAAAATGAACATTTTGCTGCCAAATTTGAATAATATGGTCCTAATAGGCTACTATGGTCAAAAAATGGGTCTGGGCCACTGGGAGGCTGTACTTTCCCCCTCTCTTCCATAAGAGAAGTCCATTTAATTTTATTAAAGAATCACAAGCATGTTTAGATTCTTACATGAATTGGTACAATTTTTCCTTTGTAATTATTAACTTGTAATCTGAGTCATCTTCTATGGAGTTGATAATCTTCCACCTGACTTGCTGATCGGTGTATTCTTTTTTTTTTTTTTTAGTCTTGGCTTGGAAAAAACTTGGAATATGAACACCTCCTGCATGGTGGAATGTCCTGTGAACTGTCAACTTTCAGACTGGTCTCCATGGTCTGAGTGCTCACAGGCTTGTGGCCTGGCTGGTTAGTTCAGAAGCTTCCCTGTGATTGATAAATGAGCCCAGATGTCAGTCAGCAGGAAAAAGAAGGGGCAGGGGTTTGGGTAAAAGGACTGATAGATTGATAGAAGTTTGCTCTGTTTCCTGCAAGCTTCTTCTGTTGCCAGCCTTGTACTGAGTAAATTGCCATTCTCAGTTTTCAGATGACAGAAGACAGACATGGTGAATGTTCCTGTGGGATGACTACAGGAAGCTATCTTTATGGCAATATTTATTGGCCTTGACAACTTGAAGAAGTGTGGACTTAAACTCACTGCTGGCTGGGTAATTCTGGGAGTTGAAGTCCACACATCTTCAAGTTACCAAGGTTGAGAAACACCACTCTATGGTGTACTAGAACAAACAAAAGACAAGCTGGAAGAGATGTTGCCTGATGGTATTATGCTTCCTTTCTGCAAAAACTTACATATATGTTGTAAAGACATCTCTTTTATGGTCACAGAATCTAGAACATTGAGGAAGATATTGAAAATAAGATAGAACAGTATTGAGACCAGACATTCTCTTTCTCCAATTTGGATTTAGGTCTTAATTATGAAGAACATTTGCACAGCTATGTGTAAGGAGAAAAACATGAAGCAAGGGCAATACGCCTCACTATTGATCCTCATTTAATAAAACATTTGATCTACTTGTGGAATAGGTGCTTCTCCCCTTTAAGCTACTTATTGGCACCATCCTCAAGTGGTGGCTAGGATGATTACTGAGTGGTTTTTCAAGTGGGTGAAGTTTAAAATGGCCTGAGCAAAGATAATGCCAAGCCAGGATTTTTCAACTCTGATTCCTTAGCAAGCCATAATGGTCTAGCTGGTGTATACCAGTGTACCACTAAGACACAATAGGGGGATTCACACACACATTAAGCTTTAAAAAAAAGAAGATAAATCCTTCGATCATGTATGAGTTTTATAAAATGCCTGACTCTACAAGTTCTAGAAGATACAAAGTCAAAGCTCAATACATAGAACAATAATAAAAAACCAAAACAATAAAAAATAACAGACAATAATGGCATGATTAATTATCAAAGGCTTTTTGAAAAGTCAGGTTTTTACTGTTCTCTGGGAGTCCATAAAGTGGGCATTTTTGTTTCCAAGATAAACTTTGTCAAAGCACACCTGCCTCAGTGTCCCCTCCTATCATTCCTCAGAATAGGAGAAGGGATGGCTTTTAACAGGTACTCCCTATTCACCCAGGTTAGGTGGACAGAACTGACTTGGGATAGGTGGTCTCTGAAATACCCAGTCCCGAGCTATATAGTGCTTTATAGGCAACAACCAGCATCCTTGAACGGCAGTTGGAAACAGACCAATAACAGGCACAACTCCCACAAAAGTATTGTGTGACTATACTATGATTGTGTACTAAGCACATGGGCAGCTGTGTTTTGTACCAGCTGTTGTTTTTAAGTGGTCTTCAAGTTGTAGTATTCAATTTCAGTAATCAGGTACAGGATGACGAGAGGGTAAGCGGTCTTCTTCAGAGCCTCCTGTTCTAGGTGAGGTTGCAGCTGATGTGCATGGCTCTCCTGGCCTCAGTCTCTCCTTGCTCTTCTGCAGCAGTGGTGATTCCAGGAGGAGCCCAGCTTGTGAGCCTACTTTTTCAAGGAAAGCACAGCCCTGTCAGGAGTCAAGGTCGATGTCACCCTGTCATCGGTTGGCTTCTGAACCAACAATTACTTCATCTTGCTTGGGTTTTGTTCTTTGGTTTATGGCTTATACTATGGAAGTGTACCACTTAATGAAGAAGGCATTATTAATCAATCTTATTCTGAGGCAGTCTCTTTTGAATAGAAGCCTTTAGTTCATTTTGTGATATCACAGAACTATGACAACATTGCAACATGTTGTATTTAAATCACTAGTAGATAATTCTGCTGTTAGGGGTTCTTAAGGCTACATGCAATATAACAATTATTTCTTTATTGTTACTCTGTTACAGATTGTGGTCAACATGCCAATTATGGTGATAGCATTTGATATGTTTAGGTTCATAGCAAACAGATGTTAAATTATTCTGTGCAGCGTAAACCAGTTAATAGTACACAGATGTACATGCTTTCTTTCTAATGCATCCATATTTTTGTGCCATCACTGTACATTTTGTCCCAGCAATGAATTTTATACTTTAGGAAATAAAACAGAATCAACCAAAGGATTCTGGATGACTAAGGGGAGAAAGAAGTGGGTGGGGGCTTTATATGTTGTATATCATCTTGAAATATAGCTCAAATCCTCAAGGAGCTCTATCAGCCTGAATTAGCTTGACAGCTAACTGCTGCAAAATTCATTTCAAAAGTTGATTCATTTAAACTTGGTAAAATCCTGTCCTTTTTTAAAAAAAATTCTCTATAATGGAGACATTGAATAAAACCTAAAGTTTCCTCTACTTTGCTGACCTAGAAGAGAATTTTCTGTGAATGAAGCACCAAGTTTCAACTTCCCTTTTCATAAATCATATCTCAGTTTTCCTTAACTTGGTGGACTCCAATGAATGGAAACTGGAAAAGGTTGTAGTACAATATCATGTCCACCCTTAGCCATGAAAACTCACTTGGTGACCTTGGGCCAGTCACACACTCTCAGCCAAACTTACCCCTCAGCGCTGTTGTGGGATAAAATGAAAGGTGATACCCGTGTAAGCTGCCTTCAGCTACTACAGGAAAGGCATGATATAAATCTAATAAACATCATTTTATTTTATATCACCACTCCAGATAGCACTGTACAGAATTTGATGGAGAAAAGAAAATAGAGACAGCTTTTATTCCACTAACCTGTCTAAATTTTAGACTATTTTAACAGAACTAAAATTGCTTCTTTGCCTGGTCTGGGCCAAAAATATGGTAATCTTACTAGCTTCTATTTTAAAAGGCCCTTTTCACATCTGATGCATGGCAGAGAATTTCCACTTTCCAGTTTTATTTTATCTAGGCCAGCCTTCCCTACTTGGTATCCACCAGCTGTGTTGGACTTTAATTCCCAGAATTACTGATTGGGAGTTCTGTGAGTTGAATGTAATATATCTGGAGGTCAGCTGATTGGAGAAGGTTGATCCAAGCCATGTGAGACTGTATCCCTGGGCTGTTCCTTAAAATGCTCCAGCTGTTGTGGGGGAAGCTTTTGTGACTAAAGCAGGCCTTATGACCTGAACTGAGATGCCTTAAAACATGTGCAACATCAGTGCTAAATGCTGTCTCTTTCTCTCTGCTTTGAAGGAAAGATGACACGAAAGAGAACGGTTATTCAACCTTTCCAAGGTGATGGCAGACCTTGTCCTTCACAAATGGAGCAGTTCAAACCTTGCCCTGTTAAACCTTGTTATCGATGGCAGTATAGTCCATGGGAAGAATGTAAAGTTGAGGTAAAACTGGTATCTGGAGCCTTTCATCCTTAGATATTTGTGATACAGACATATGGCATACAAATTGTTTCTCAACAAACTCTAAGCGGGGTGAGAGACCTTCCCACCCCAAATGCAGGCAAAGTTCGATTATCGTTGGTGACTATTGACCAGGCTGGCCAGGACTGATGGGAACTGGGAATCAGCAACATCTGATAGATCCCAAGCCCCCTTTTCATTCCAAACTCATACTATTAGATTACATTATACTAAGATTTCTAAAGGTAATCATAGTTACCATGCCAGATGAAATGTTCAAACCTTATCTATAACTTGCTATTCATATATGTAAAGAAATGTCAACACAGTAGCAATTCAGGTTTACTGTTAGATTATTCATATTCAGAGGGGGCTGTATCATTTTAAAACTACTGTGGTACTATTTAACCATTTAACCCAGAGTAGCAAATTTAAAAGAAGGATGTGGGGAGAGTGAACTGAAACTTTATTATGCTTTTAGTAACTTATAAAAGAAGAAAAGGGTGTTGCCTGTTGTAACCTCAATCCTGATTATCATGGAGGAATATTGGAGTAAGTGTGAACCTATGAAGCCATAGTCCATTCAAGTATGCATCAGCTTTCCTTAACATGATAGGCTTCTGATTGAGCTACAACTTCTATTATTTTATTATCCCAGCTACCTTGACTGTTGGCTATATTAACTGGAAGTATCTGGAGAGCACCAGATTAGGGAAAGCTGATTTATATATTTCCACAGACTGCCTCACACTTTGGTCTAAGCAGAAAAGGAAGATTCTATAGAACAATTTATTAATGAGCAGTTATTTCTTATCTAAACCTTCCTTGTTTGTTAAATAAGAAAATATACTTTTTATTATATGTGCACATAGAAAATACATGTTACTTGATTTGCCCCAAATTGTTGAATTGAAGCTGTTGCATATCAGATCTGGCTTTTTAATGGGAATTTTATTTATACATACAGTTCTTTAGCTACCACAAGTTAGACCGCTAATAATATGCACTTTGGCAGCTAGCTGTGCTTTCGAAGCATGGGCTGAAATCCCATTGCCCTTCTGCGGCATTTTATTCAGCCTTTTCTTACTCTGATTTCTTGTGAACAACTCTCCTTTTCCAGGATGCTCAGTGTGGAGAAGGGACAAGAGCTAGAAATATTTTCTGTGTGGTCTATGATGGATCTAGTGATGACATTGGCAAAAAAGTGGATGAAGAATATTGTGGGGAAATTGAACCTATGGTTGATGGCAATAAAAAAATTGTACTTGAAGAAGCTTGCACCGTGCCTTGTCCAGGTATCTTATTTGTTTGCATATTTGACAAAGCTGCTGTTGAAACACTGCTGATTGATTTATTGAAAGAAAGATTAGAAGTGTACGATATCTCCTACAACGTATTGTTGTGGGTCAGAGTAAGACAAAAGGAATCACCTCTCTATTATCCATTTTTTAAAACTGTCTTACTACAACAGCAGAGTATAAAGTTATTAATACATTAATAATCTGTAAAGCATTTATATTTATTTAGGAACAATATGGGAGCTTGCAAGATAGTCTCTAGTTTAGAGATCCTAGCTTGCATAGAATAATATGAGCATACTTATGCCAAAACTGACTTTGGTTGCACTTGTGGTGGTGCTGACCAAAATCTGACAAAAGTGGCCAGTCCTGTCCTACATGCAGCACAGGTATGACTAGAGCTGGTAATCTTGTCTATACCAACTCTTACTAAAAAGTATTTTGTGAAACCCTCATTTGACCAAAGCAGGATGGATGATGGGTGTCAATATCTATGGACCAATTTGTGACAACTAAGGCATATGAAAGATGGCTGCTTGGAATGTAAGAGAAATTTGTGAAAATGGGCAAGTAGTGAAGATTTATGAAATAACTGAAATATATCTCAAAATATGAATTGTGTCATCTAGATTGCTATGAGTGGATATGAAAGTAGGAATCCATAGGTTAGTGTTGAGATCCACTAAATAGTGATTAAGAAAGAACCAGAAATGAATTTTAGGAACAATTATGCAACATTCTCAATAAATACAACTGAATAAGGGGAGGAATTCTGTTAAATCGCACGAAGAGAGTGTTGGCAATGAAATGAGACAGTACTGAAAATATGATTGGATCAGACCCCCAAAGGAATGAGAATTATGATTGTTAGGTGAGTATTTGCTTAGAAGTTTGTCTGTTTTGAATAAGTGGTTTAAGCATAAATGTTTTCAGGTAATTTAAGACCACCTTAAGAATTGGCTGTTTTCTCTATCCTTTGTAATGGTTCCTGAAACACTGTTGTTGTAATACAGCTGGGGAATAAACATATTCTGATTAAGCTTTACCTAAAATTGCCTCCTCTTTTCCATTAATAAAATAAAACAAAACAAAACATACTTCTTACCAACTTTTTGCCGTACTTTTTTTTTGGTAACAAATCAAACAAGAACTTACTGCTCTTCTTAAAGGTAATCTTTAACACCACAAGAGCTTTGTTGTTATTCTTTACATAGAATTTTGCTGAAGAAATGGTCCTTTGCTCGAAGCCCCTTCCCCACCCCACCCTACCCTACCTTTCTCCAAAGAAGATTAACTGCCCTGTGGGAATAGGTTAATAGTGCATTGTGGTTAATGTTTCAAAAGATGACTACATGTGCCCCTATTATCCATATATTGTTTATTCAATAATTCATTTCTTTACACAATGTTCTAATGTTCACAAATAAACCTTCTTTATTAAGGCATCGTTAACACTGACTTGATTTTACTTGTCAACATAATGTAAAGTGACATGAATTTTTAATAGCCCTTGTACTGAAATAATTAAAGCTCTGTACTCATTTGCAAGCTTGGGTGACTTTCTAGCTTTATGGCCTCCATATACAGTACTATTTGCAAATATGACTTCAGTCCCACATTTTCTTAGCATGAAAGATTTTGCCTGGTTCTTGATCCATAATGAAACTTCCATTATTTTTACAAGCATAGAGTTTACTTGGTAGAAACTGGGAAACATCATTCTGCTTTAGTTAAAAAGTTCAGTTTTTTTTTTAAAGTATGAAAATCTACATGCATTTTCTGGCACATTTTTTCATATATATATGAAAAAATGTGCCAGAAAACGCATGTTTTCTGTGCATATATATATATAGCATAGACTTTCCTGCAGTGCAGATTTTTCATAAGCATTTTTTTATCTAATGTAGTGTATTTTATGCTATGATCTCTTCATTTGTATAGAAATTTCCTTAATGTAGCATTTTGTATGTTTCTTTAAATTTCCAAGCACACTGAGAATTCCGCTAAGTAAGAATTGTGTGTTTTCAGGTGCTTGTATAGGTGTGGATAGATATGGATATAAATTGGTTGCATTTCCTTAAAAATTGAGATGCAACAAATTTTTCATCCATACCTGATTAGAGTTCTGCATGTTTGAACATTTGCCAAGTTCCCCAAAGAGTTTGTTCATTCACAGTTGATCCAGCTTCTCTTTCTTTTCCTTAATAAACCATCCCGTGTCAGCATCTAAAATGCCAAAACCAAACCAAACCCTGGCAAGGGCTTTTGCTATGTCCATTATTTTAAGTCTCCTACCTCTCTTACTACAGAGCTGGGAATCTTTTGGCCTTACAGATACTGTTAAATTATAACTCCCAGTATCTGTCTCACTCATACTTAGCTAAGCATTTGGGACCATTGTAAATTATGAGAACAAATCTGCGCTTCTCAAAGTTTTCCTGTCTTAAAAGGGCTCACTTTGGATCCTTTGTAGCTTGACTAAAATGTACAGTCCTTGAGATGAGACTGGGATTTTTTTCTTGATATTGTCTGTGCCCAGTTCAACCACAGAAGAGGAAGGAAGAGGAAGTAATGGAAGTTACTGGCCTCATTTTCATTGTCTAGTGTGGCTGTGGCTCAAAGAGCAAAATATGATTAACAGCTCTTACAAATGTGTGGGTAGCCTTTCTGTTGATCAAATTAAAGCAGCTGTGCCTAGAAAGGGATCATGCTGCTCTAAGTTGTTCTTGAGATATAGTCTGCACATGCCCATGTGTGCTCCAAATCACATCTTACCCTTTGAACCTGGATCATTGTACATAACCCTATTGCTTAGCAATATTCTGCTGCCAAATCTACTTTGCTCTAGTGGGTAAGGTGTTAGACTAGGACCAGGGAGAGCCAGGCTCGGTCCATCTCCAGTCATGAAAGGTCGGTCACTGGGTGACTTTGGGCCAGTTACTTTCTATCAGTCCCGCCTTCCTTGAAGACTTGTGGAAAAATTAGAGGGGGGAGTGTTTATATACTCTGCCTTGAGCTCCTGGAAGAAAAGCAAGTCATCAATCTAACAAGGTTGAAGAGATCATTGGTTGTAAACTAAGAAGGGGTGAAGAGTTATAAAAATGTTTATACTTGTGATGAAGGTTGGAAGTCACTTCTTTATATATTTCTTTTCTCTCTCTCCACTATATTCTTACTTTTCTTTCTTTTTTCTTTCTATTTTCTATTTTCTATGTTCTTTTTTCTTCTCTTTTGCACCTTTCACTCTTTTTTCTATTCTTTCTTTTAGTTTATATTAGATTTTACTGTTGTAATTAAAGTCCTTAATAAAAATTATATATATATGAGAATAGAGATTAGTCAGGAATATTTTGTGATCTATTAAGTCATAGAAACTAAAATATATGATACACCAATTTGTGCTTGTACAGAGGTTTTAGGATGAGGTTTATTAAAAAAAAGTTTTGGCAGAATGCTAATATTTTTTGACAGTGCAGGATCTAACTAACTGTAAGAGATTTTTACAAATGTTCTTCTTTCCTAACATGTTGGGTAATTTCCCTGCCCCCCTTTGCTTTGTAGGTGACTGTTACTTAAAGGAGTGGTCACACTGGAGCATTTGTCAGTTAACCTGTGTAAATGGGGAAGATCTTGGCTTTGGAGGAATACAGGTTCGATCACGAGCAGTGATTGTTCAAGATGTAGAAAATCAGCACCTCTGTCCAGACCAAGTTTTGGAGACAAGACAGTGTAATGGTAAGTGCCAGAATCTATCACAAGGTATGTGCCATTCTGTTACTTTACACTGGAAGAAAATAAATAATAGGGGGAATTAATGTCTCTCTCCTGTTACAGATACAGAGAGTGAATGCAGACTTTTTTTCTCTGTGCTATCTATAAATAAAGAGGGAGGGCCCAGAGCTGAGCATTAGAACATGCATTGCTATATGCAGAAGGTCCCTGGTTCTATCCCAGTATCTCAGTAACAGAGTTGGGACATGAATGCAGTGTTTGGGGATTGCTGCCATTTGGGGCAGACTGAACTTAGTAAGATGATTCATGTCCTGGTAACATCTAGGCTTGACTAAGTAAGAGCTGTCTTTGAAGACAGTCCCAAAACACGAGCTGATGGGTAGTACTGCTTCAAGATTGCTAGCTGGCAATGAGCATTGGAAAGGGGGTTGCCAGTGTTAAAACAGCTTTACTAGTTTCTGACCCATCTTTTGGTCCCATTCAAAGTGCTGGTGTTTTTTCAACTGGTAAGAACTTGGGGCCAGATACTTGTGGCATTGTCCCTTCCAGATGAGTCTAACCCTTGCTTTGGGCCATATGAAGATACCCTCATGGTTTTAGATAAACAGCAGGTGCCAGGTTAGGGGAAAGCCCTTTTGATCACAATTACAATTACAGAATGCTCACTTAAGGGAAAGGTTCTTGTTGCCACTTCAATTTCTTTTCTATATCGAAGAAGTTTTATTTTTCTTAAAATTGTATATATTTTAAATGGTAGTTGATCATATGCTCCCCTTATTTGCTATAGAAAATGTATTTATTTCTAATACATATAAACTATCTTGGCAATGTTTTACTTGAAAGGTAAACATGTCTAAAATAATTATATACCTGAATTATGTGAGGACTGATTTCTGCAGATTTGATGTGTGGATTCTAATTCCTCCTTGTAGGCTGATCTTATTAATAAAGCTAAAATTAAAATGAGAAGCAGAATGGAAAACAACAACCCAGGTATAACTTTCCAATTCAAGCCAAAAACTAGAATATAATGGAATCTTTCCTGTTTCAATTCAGATGGCCATTGTTATGAATACAATTGGATGGCCAGCCCATGGAAGGGATCATCTAGGGCTGTATGGTGCCAAAGATCAGATGGTTTAAATGTTACAGGTAATATTAATTATACTTTCTTTTTTATATTATTGAATAAACTTGATTATGTTTAGAAAATAAATAGAGAGAAAATAGTGTAGAAGTTTGCTATGACCTACATTAGGGATGGAAAGAATATGGCTGTTCAGATGTTACAACTCATACTATACCTTCTCAGCATTGCAGTAATCTAGCATGACATGAGTCAGAGTCCATCAACATCTGGTGTAGGCATATGGTCCTCATTTCTGCTTTAGAGAAAGCAACAAAGTTAAATTAGAAGCGTTGATAGAAAGCTAAATGAGTGAGCTTCAATATTACACCCTATTTGGATTTGCTTTTGAGTAGACATATGCAGGATTGTGCTGCTGATCTCTTACATCCGTTTATGTTTGACTTATTACAATTTTGGGTGAAATAACTCCAGCATGAACATTTCAGAACTTGCCATGTCAGAGAAACCGTAGAAAAGTATGCTTGAAAAGTCAGGAAGCAATTGGCAATGTTGTATGCAAAATTTAGCCTTGAATGTTAATTAAAAACTGTTCTCATAATAGCATGCCACTCATAATGGATTTCAGTGCCAGTATAAATTTCCAAAAATCATCTGTCTAAAAGTCTGTGATTAATTAAGAGATTAGCCAATTCTTACAGTCCTCTAATCCATGGATAGCTGGCATGAGGCAATAGGAGCCATTAAAAGACTTTTCTATGGAAGGCCCTTGAATACTTGATATGAATAGAAGTGTGTCAGAGCTCTTAAAGTCTCTTGAGAAATGTTAATGAGCACTTTAAAAAACTATATTAATTAGCTGTCATTTCTATAGCCCTTAGAAAATCTAGTTAATATGCAAGTCAGTCATAATCAAGTACCTTTTGCTTTGGTTAAAATACAGTTTGATACATTACAGCATCAATCACTCAGCAGCTTTCCATCTATCTGTTTTATTCACTTATTCATTACAGTGACTCATGCAAAAAGAAGCTGGGGCTTCAATCGCGTTGTCATGGCCACCACTTTGACCTGCTCCCCAACACCTCTGCTTTTTTTATTAGTGTAAATAAAATAAACTCTTACTCAACATAAGCAGTTTTACATCTTACTGTTTTAAGAGATAAATGCTCATATACCAGTGAAACCACTGAAACAGCAAGGTGTAATAGTGCTAGATTTGAGTGGAATATATCCATTGAGATTTATAGTCTGGGTATTCTATTCACTGGCCATTTGGCATTAGGCCAAGTGCTTCTCTGTACATAGTATAGTTTTTACTTCCTTCCTATTGCAGCCTCTGACACCATATCTCATACTGTTTCAGAGGATCCAACAATCCTCAGAACCTTCTTTTCAGGGCCAGGAAGATGGGATAAAAATCAAGAGTCCAACCTTGTGTGTAACTGGCAGACAAGATGAATCTGTGCCGAGGTTTTCATGGCCAAGCTACCAACTGCTCCTTGAGCAGGAGGTGCTACTTGCTCATAAAGCAGGAGCTGGGAGTCCAGAAAAACCCTCAAATTGCACACCAGGCCTGAATAGTGAAGTGCAACCCCTGTTGCACTAGTTCCTGGATTAGGAGGCTCTCCAGACAGTCACTCATGCCTTGGTCAACTCGTATGCAAACTAGTGCAATGCATTCTACCTAAGTTTGCTCTTGAAAATCACTTAGAAGCTGCAGTTGGTCCAAAATATAGTGGCAGGGGCATGATGGGCATGCCACAGCACACCCATATAACGCCTCTACTTTATGAGTTGCCCTGGTTGCCATTTAGCTTCTGGGTGCAATTCAAGGTGCTGGTTACCACCTATAAAACTCTTAATACTGTTGGGCCTGGTTATCTGAGACAAACAAAGTTGGCATGCTCCAGGTAGATCAAAGAGTGTCATCTGATGGGACTCAGGAAGTGGGTTTTCTCTGTCACTCTCTCTGCCCTCTGGAACAGCAACTCCTCCCAAGATTCCTATGGCCCCTACACTGCCCTTGTTTAAACAGTCCTTAAAAGCATGGCTTTTATCCAAAGGCTAGGATGGATGGTGGTCCTTTTATAGGAATATATATAATAAGTCATAAGTTTTATTCCTCTTTCTGAACATCACGTTGTTATATTGTTTTCAAATTTTATTTAGTGTTGTACACTGCTCAGAGTCACTATGTAGTTGAGTGGCCATATCAGTTTGAGTAATAAATAAATGAACAGCAGAAACTGGGTTGCATTCCTCAAAATTATGTTTGGAATTCTTCTTGCTAGGATATTTCCCAGCACTACCCACACTGTTTTATAATAATGTATTAAAGAGCTAAATTGTCTTCTAGAAGCTTCCAAATGTTTTCATTGGTTTTCAACAGACATGCCTAATTTGGCTTGCTATGAAATGGTTATACTTAAGTTTATTTGTCTACTCTGAAAAATTTCAAAATGTTGACTGAAAAATAAATGGTTAAACTACATTTACAATTGTAATTGCTTAGACCACAGCTGTTTTCATTTGCTCAACTTCCATCACAATATGATTGTTTTGTGTGGCCTTTTTATATCTAAATTTTATTTTTGCAGATACCTTAATTCACAATGAAATGGGTGAGGAAGCAGTTATTTCTTCCTGTAGCTCCTCAGATGGCTGACATTTTGTAAGAAAGGCACTCACAGGCACGTGCATCTTACGCCTGGATCTCCAAACTTTATATATATCATGTCAGCTAGCAATACTGATTTGGCGATCAATGTCACTCCTTTGGTTAACATACAGTTGCCTAATTACATCTAATTGCATCTACTGCTAGTTGGATTTCTACATTGTTTTTCACCATTGTGTGGGATGGGCATGATTATTTTACAGTAATTGGTGATGCAGTCAATATTTATTGACTTATTATTCAGTTTATATTCTGCCTTTCTATTCATTGAGCACTGAAGCTCATTAGATCACCAGAGTGAACATATATAAGGTACATAACCTGGTTTTGCTACTGCAGAGACAAAATGAGAGAACTGGGTATGTCTGAAGGCTGGCAACACTAAATCTGGCTGAAAACAATGGTGAAAACCTGTGTGGACTTAATAAATTTAAGTAACCATGCTGAATTAATAACCTCTGTCCTCTGAGAATCAAGAGCAAAATGCTGAGGAAGCTCACCTCTTGAGAACTGATAACTGGTCTCTTTTATTTTCCTCATTCTAATTGCAAATGTAGCATTTTCCTTCCACAGTTAATACCCTTTCGGGTGATAGTGCTGATAAAGATTTGCCCTGGAGGGACAAAGTTTTTTGTTTCCATTTGCTAAGAACGTTTTGGGAGTACAGATATTGGAGCTGGACCATTAATTTAACAGCACAAAATTGCAAAAAAGGTGAACTTACAAAGTCTTAAATGTCACTTACCTCATTCTTTTGGTAAGGCCTGTTCATTTGCTCAGTGTGTTGAGAGGTGAGATTTAAAGGGGAGCTATGCTTTCTACCATGTACCACCTTTAGTCAGTATGATGTCTCTCTACCAAGAACAGAAAGTAGAAAACCAGTAATTCCCACCACATTTTCACACCCTCAGATAATTAGCTGTTTGAGCTAGAAACAGGAAGGTGATACCTGGCATGCTAACATTCCCAAAGAGATATCAAGTGAAACAAATTCAGTGGTTTTGCTATCCCCTTTCTCAATAATATGCACAAGAACTAGGAAAATCTTCTCTTCCATTATGGGTTGCTGTTTTTTCCTAGATGAAGCAAAGCTTCCCTGATACTAAGGTATGGTGGTGCCAAAATGCCATTTGTTTTGTTCTGCAGGAGGTTGCTTAATGATGCACCAACCAGATGCGGACAGGTCATGTAAGCCAGCATGCAGCCAGCCCTATTCTTACTGTAGTGAGGTATGTGCTACTGTGTCATGCAGGTCAGGTTTCCAACATATGGCTAGAGCATCATTGGTAATGCATCATATTAGAACAGTCAGAAAGCCCAAAATGTTTAATTGGAAATCCTGGCGCAGTTGGGAATTGCACCAGCTTAGAGACAGGTGAGAACAATTGACCCTGTGAGCCATTATTTCCAGCTTTTACAGAGCTCCATTCTTGTGCTTCACTTTGTTTAGTGAGACATTTTGTGCATTACCTCTGAGGAAATCTTTCTTTAGTCTTCTTTGACAAGAAGAAAGTGGAAAAGGCAGACAAATAAAATGGAGTTAAACTGGCCACATATTTATAGACTGCAATGGGTAAAGCAGGTGTAGCTATATTAAAGAATTGGGTAAAGGATTTTCCTTATTTTTCTTCCTTTAGTTTCATGCACCTACACAACCATATAAGCTTACATTGCAGTTTTTGTTTCTTGATTCAAAATGGCTAGGAACTGTGCTATTGACTTTTTATCCTTCCTTCCTTCCTTCCTTCCTTCCTTCCTTCCTTCCTTCCTTCCTTCCTTCTGTGAAAGGGTCCTAGAGACATTTTTTTTAAAAGTTCAAAGTCCATGTGCAGCTTTGGGGTCATGGGTTGCTCAACTTCGTTGTGCCATATTCTGTGGCCTTTGAAGTTACATGGCTTTGCTACAGTGTGTAAAACATTTGTTCCTCTGCAGACTAGAATGTGTACTTGTGAAGAAGGGTATACAGAGGTAATGTCTTCTGATGGCACGCTTGAGCAGTGTACTCACATTCCAGTGGTAGTTATACCCACAGTGGAGGATCAGAAGGAAGACGTGAAAACTAGTCGAGCTGTGAACCCCACACAGACATCTATCACACCATCAGGAAGAGGAAGAACTTGGTTCCTCCAACCTTTTGCACCAGGTGAAATTTCACATGGATAGTTAGTGATATTAGGTCACCTAAATTGAATGGAGTAAATTTACAGATATCTTTACAGTATTGCATAGTATTTTTAGAAGGCAGAGAGATCAATGATTCTTGACCATATCACTTCATGCCATTCCACGTGTTAATAGCATACAAAGGAGATGTCATGATTTTCAATAGTTTCTGAGCTCGTTACACCCCAGAAGCTTACTGGTTTATTGATACTTCTTCCATTCAGACTGTCAAAAATGATTTTGCACAAACACATTGCATAGAATAAATATCCATGGCACTATTTTGGACAAGGCTTAAGCATCACAGAATTTTCTCTTGCACAGATAGTTGGTCTTTTGGATACCTAACATTTAACCCTATCTATAGGAGTTATCTAGGAGTAGGTTTTGCTGAATGTAGCTTACATTAGCTCTGAGTAAACGTTCTATAATCAGGAAAGAGATGATATAAACAATCAGTTATTAAACTCACATACCTCTATGGATTTCCAAAGAAGTAGGGAAAAAAGAATTAAATAAAACCATATAAAGCATGTACAGATTTACAATAATCAAACAGTTCTAGTGACCTAGGACAAAACATCAGTCATTTTACATTTTACAGGTTTTCATGGAAAAAAGCAGAAATTTAGCTATTCCCTTTCTAATGTCTTTGTTTGAAGTTACATAATTTTGATCAACAATGTACAATAGAATCAAACCATTAAAAAGGTCTTAAAAGTTTTTAAAAATCTGAACTCTAGGCACATGCACAATTAGTTACTACATTTGATACAAAACATACCCGTTCCTCAATTTGGTGCTTGAACAAAGCAGATTTTGTTCTTAATTCTCCAGCATCTTTTCCACTGACGTGCTCCAAGAAAAGATGTAATCTCACTTACTAGCCAAGCAAGCTATGTGCAACACCGAAAATGCATCATTTGGTGATAGCACTAACTGTACTTGAACAAACCTTTGATTATATCTTTCTAAAAAAAAAATCTGATTGGCACTAATTTATGTACTAATGACTAACATACATTCATTTTAGATGGGAAGCTGAAGACCTGGGTTTATGGTGTAGCTGCCGGTGCATTTGTTTTGCTCATCTTTGTTATATCTATGATCTATCTAGCCTGGTGAGTTCTGTTATTATTTATCACACTTGGGATTTTTCCTCAAAAAAGAGTGTACAGTAATATATAAATGGGCTTATATTTGGCTTCACATTTATTCCTTCCATCTTAATATTGAATATTTAGTATTTGTTGCTGACATGGTTTCAACTGTAGACTTCAGCCTATTGAAGCTAACTTTTCAATTTCTTGATATGGGTTTCAATGGCAGTTGGGACCAAGAACTCCATTGCTAAGTAATGTGACCATAAAGTATGACCTTATGTGACCATGTCGCTTAGCGACAGCAATTCCAGCAGTCCTGGTTGCCATCGTTAAACAATGACCATGTGGGTCGTTAAGTGAAGACCTCACATGATCATGACTTCCAACTTCCTACCAGCTTCCCCATTGACTTTGCTTGTGGGAAACTGGCAGGGAATGTTGGAAATTGTGATCATATGACTGCGGGAATGTTATGATGGCTGGGACTCTGAGGAGCTGTCCTAAGTCTCCCTCGTTCAGTGCCATTGTAACTTTGAACAGTCACTGAATGAATGGTCATAACCTGAGGACTACCTGTAATGTTTTATATTTTCTTTGCTTCCCTGCTCCCCTCCCAAATTAACAACACCTGTATTTGTGTTTAATTGCAATGCAGATGCTTAGTGTTTTTTACATTTCTTTTTTAAAAAGAAAGCTACTTCAAAATAATAAGCCAGTCACTGCTATTCACACTAGGAGATATGACAGTGTCATCAGCAACAGCAGCTGGATTCTGTGGGAGCTAATAGATGTGATCGATAAAGCTGTTGTGCAAAACATTCCAAATGGGTTGTTCACAGGCTTCCAACATTGGAGCCTTCAACAAAATCCATATCCTGCTGAGTTCTTCTTCAAGAGGCATATTCACTGCTTTTCCTATTATTTATTCCCAGTTTTTAAAAAAATTCCACTGGCAAACAATGGGAGAGAATAAAGTTCAATTTAGCCTCAGAGCTGATCTATATTTTTGACAAACATGCAGCAAGACAGAGAGCTGGAAAGAGGATCCTTCCATAGATGTCTGGTAGAAACTAGTGACCAAAAAATGAGAAAACGTGTTGGACCATCATGGCTCAAATGCCAGCCTTTCCTACTTGTGCTCCTCAGACACAAGAATGTAATTAATCATTTGTCTCTCCCCAAAGCTCTTCCTGCCATCCCTACTTCCTATCCCATAGAGGTAAAGTCTCATCTAAGTCCAACTCAACTCCTGGTAACTTTTGCCAGCCATTTTCCTGCCAGTACTATGGAAATGGTTTGCTATCTTTTGACTTCCCAATCTAGTTTACATTCCTTGTATCCTGGCTGAAACTTCCTCCCATACCCAATTCTTCTGGGGGGAGGGGTCCAAGGGTGATTGATCATGTGGCTGTCCAGAGGTACCTAACTATTTATTTGGCTCAGATCTGTCAATATGTTTGTAATCTACACGTTTTGCTGCTGTTTCTTTCCTTCAGAATCTAGTACATGAGATCTTACATCTCTGAACAAAACCAACTTAAATCAGAAAATTATTAAAAGTGAGAACTATATTGTCTTCTCATCCTGTGTGAATTTAGCAGCAAAACCTGTCTGTCTGTTAGCTTAATCACTTAGATTTGTGACAGTTTACTTTTGCTCATTGCAGTAAAAAGCCAAAGAAGCCACAGAGGAGACAGAACAACCGCCTGAAACCTTTAACCCTGGCTTACGATGGAGATGCCGACATGTAAAATAATTGCTTCCCATTCTTTAAACTCTTGAAACAGTAGTATTGAAAAACAGCATGTATGTTGTGTACATTACTGAACAGTTGTTACACAAGACAGAGAGGGGAAAAGAAAAAAAAGATGGATGGCCATGGATATTCTAAGAAACAATCTTTGTCCTTGAACACCAATTGGTACAGCAAATTCTAGTGGCCGGTTTCAGTTGTAAGCACAGCAGCTGAGAGTCTTCATGAAGCTTTCTTTGAAACATACGAACTATAAAGCCACTTTCATATTATATTGGGATTTGAGAGTGTTGATACCAGAACCATCTGCTGCATTAATCTAACATTACTCAATAAGCATGGGAAGATCATACCAAGTTGTCTATAATGCTTTATATCCAACCTATATACTCAGTTGCATCATAGGTAATAATCTCTCAAAAGATATACTGGTTGAAAGAACAACTTAGTGTTTAGCATCTTGTAAACTTTAACTAAGAATAACAAACCACTGAACAAGTTTTGGCCTTTTGGACCACAGGAGGCAGTTTTCTGAACTGGCTTTTCAAAGGGGTACAGACCTGCAAGATTCTTGCTCTGTTACCAAGTCCCAGGTACTAAAGCACCACTACACACATTTATCAAGGAATTAAGCATCTTCAGGTTCAAATTTTATACAAGTTGTCTGGACATTTAATATCCATGTGTAATACTTTTTACTTTCTCTAACTCTCAAACTGTTGCCTGGAACTTTTTTGCTACATATAAGGCAATTTTGTTTTGCACTATATTAGTGCCGCATGATATGCACTTATTCACGAGTATTGCCATAGGAACTGTCTCTTTTCAGTAAGGGTGATGGTGAAAATCCTGCATCAGACATTTGCCAGTACGTTTTTGACTCCTGATGAAAGTAGAGATCAGTTTCCGAACTGTGACTGGGTAGACCAGCTAACACAACTACTGTTTATATACCAGTACTTGTAAAAGCAGCTGTTTTGTAGTCAAAACCCATGGCTGTAATGTAAGTGTCTACTTTCAGACTCTGGCCACCTTCTACAGATGGTAGATTTTCAAGTTGATTTCTTATTTCTTTGAAGGTTGTATATGCTAGATTTTTATATTGCTAACTTTGTAAAAAAGAAAAAAAGAAAAAAGTGGTTCTGTGCTAACCTTGGGGAAAATACTTATCTAAACAGTGTTCCAGTATGTTCAGCGGAAAGAATATGAATTTACTATTTATTTTTCTCCTGCTAATGGGAAGTATTTCATTGCTGAAGGATTGATAGTCCTGTGCTTTCTACTTGGGATAAACTGATATAATCTTGAGTTTTGTTTTGGTTTTGTTGGTGGGTTTTTTTTTCTTTCGTTTTGTTTTGTTTTGGTGGGGACTTTTCAGGATAATGGCTAATATAGAATATTTTTTAAAAATATATCCTGATTCATCATTGTCCAGGTACCTAATTTAAGATGGGAACTGTAATGTATTCGTGGAGTTTCCTCACCTGGAATGTCTCTCTAGCAATTTTAAGGCATAGAACTGATATTTTCAACATTCTTTTGAATTGAACCATCATGGTACATGACAATGTACAAGCTTTTCATCCAGTGTGCAACTTTTTATGTAATCATTCTGGTAATAACTGCTTCATTTCTTTTATCTGCTTACATTCTGATGGGTTTGTATTAAAATATCAGTCCAATTTTGTTGTTATTCAGAACCATTGAACATTTCCAAAAAATAATGCCTTTCAAATAATGTCCTTTTAAGAATGTGTGTATGCCTATATATCTCTAGTTATGAACAGGTAAATAAGCAATATAACTCATCAATTTTATCAGACATCTGTTACACACTGATATTATTAGTTCTGACTTCTCAGGTCTATATCAATAAGCTAAATCCTTCTTAATATGTGCATTATGCCTGGAGTATTATGTAGTGATTAATTAATTAAAACAGGCAATGTGTTGCCCATGGCTCCCTCTCTAGATCCTTGCCAGACTTCCTGCCTCACCAGGCTTTTTAAAAACACATTTTTTCCAAAAAAAAAAAAAAACAATAAATGGGAAGCCAGCCCCCTAGACTGTGAAGCACCTGGGGACATCCGTGGTAGCTTATCAGAATCTGCAGGATGATGGATGTGGTTTTGTGATTGAAGCCTGTCTCTCTTATATGTGCAGGCTTTGATTGTAACACTGCACACACCATGTTTCAGATTTTGACACACACACCCCTCCCCCAGAAGCCCCTGGAAGAACTAGCCTCCAAAATCATCTTTATTTCCAAGAATGCCTATGAGCTCCACATAGGCCTCATAACGTTCTTAGAAAATAAATATGGTAGGTGGATGCAGATCAGGGCTCTGTTTGGAAGTGCCCACTGTTGGGAAGAAGGGCAGAGTGGTCTGTCACTGCTAGGGCATCCCAGCTCATGCCAGCTAGGGCAGGAATAGTATTTTTCATTTTTGTATACGCAGAAAGGGAAAAGGAAATGAAAGAGACAGAGAAAACACCTCATATAGTAATCAAAATTAATATTACATATGTATTCATAGCAAGTTTTACATTATTAGTTAGGATTGTGCAAAGCATTTGAAGAGGCGCTTTGCAAAGTGTGTTGGTTTGAGCAAAGAACCTTTGTTGAAGCATTTAGGATGGTTGGAGAGATCTCTCAAGTTGCTTGCACTTATATGACTAGACACAAACAACCCTTGGAGTGCCAGAGAAGCAACTGTGCTTGTATACCACATGTGGTGATGACCTGCGCTGTAAAGGCATAGAGGGAAAATGTTCTTTCAGATTTGCAAGATGGATGTCAGCCTTTCAAGGTAGTCCAGACAGGAAGCACACTCAGATGAACTGATCCTACTTTATTGTAAGGTTACCTTAACAGAATCTGGCAAATCTCCCAAGGTCATTCCCTCCTACATTACAACACCTCAAGGAGGGTCGTTTTGCTTGCACTAACATGCCTGGTGAGCACCTTGAACAGGCTTATCATTAGTATAACCCTCCTTTACTCAACTATAAGAGAAAAAAGATTAAGTATGAATTAGTATATTCTTAAATACTCCACCAGTGAAGGTAAATTCTTCAGACTTGTGTAATTATAGGAGAATGGATAGCTTTCCAACCTGAAGCCAGGTATACATTACACCTATCTAGGCTGAAGGGGAATATTTTGGTCTCTGGAACATTTTGGATTTTGGACCCACTTCCATCACACTCCTAATCAATTCTGACACTCCTTTGTTCAGTCCAATGTCTGGGAGAAACAACACTAGCAGTGGAGGTAAGACTATAGAAGTTACCTATAGTCTCAGTGGCGAACACTCTTTGTGGGAATTGAATGTATCCCAATATCCCATGCAAAGCCTCCACTCTCCTACTTATATCTTGGGGATGGGGTGGTTTAGCCCAGCCTTAACATTGGCTCACATTCTGTTCACTAATACGCTGGGAATTCTGCCACACAGCCTAGCCATAATGTCTTCAATGTTGATACAGGTTCAGAGCCTGTCTAGTTGAATGTTGTTTATTATATTAAAAAAAGGTGGTCCTATATGAAGTGAGTCTACAGTTAGCAGAATGAGGGAGGGATATTCTAAGCATCCTTGAACAAGAGCTGTTTGAAAATAAATAAGCAGTGCTTCCAGTTTACTAACAGTAACCACAACAGATACTATCCAAATGGAACCACCAAACTTTGACTGTAATCACACTGTAATCTTAGCATGATGGTTCAGAAGCAAGTCAAACTGTGTATAGTAGGACTTTCTCTCAAGTAAGAAGTGCATCTTGAATTACAGATTGGAAAGGTGAGATGCACAAAATGCTTAGGGTTTCTTTTTAATGTAAAGAAAGAGAATTACTTTCAATTATTGTTGGGCCAGTGGGAAGGCCAGAAACATAACCTGGATTACGTTAAATTTAGCAAACAGAAAGTAGCATTGAATCTGTGATTGAAAATATTTATCTGTATAAGAAAAAGTTGTTTTTAAAATTTCTTTCTACAAATCCAGTGCCTAAATCAGCCACAACAGTAAATTGTTAGCTTGTGAAAATAATGTTTTTGGTGATCCTACATCTTTAATCCATCCTGGAAATAGCTGAGTAGACATTTTCTTAATTGTTTTGTTTGTAACTTCAGTTTATAAATGGTGGGTTTCAAATATGATTACATTTGCCGGTTCTTCCAAAATTCTTGGCTTTTAAACCCTCACTTGGCTACATACATTTGAAGTATTTTTTCCCCCAAATTTAATACTATAATATGATTAATTTAAAATAATTCCTGTAAACAACACAGTAAAAGAAAGCTTTGGAAGGGAAAAAAAAACCCTTTTAACTTTTTGTAAATTGTGCTTACCCAAAGTAAAAAGGAAAAATACTTTTGCATAACGTACAATGCAATCCTGCGTGTTTACTAAGAAATTAACCCTATTGCATTCAATAGGGTTTATTCTCACCTAAGTGTATATAGGGTTGCAGCCTCAGTTTACTTGAATTTTCTGCTCTCTTTCTCCTTAGATTATGAACGTGTCTGACTGGGGAAATGTTTACTTTTTTGTTAATTTGTAAGCAGTATAATGCATTTTCATTTTTTTAAATTATGTATTTTGCTTTTCTTTTTTTTAAATGAACAAAACATTTATATTCAACTGCAAATGTGTGTATATTGTCACCAAATTTTATTCAGTTAATGTGGATCACATGTGAAAATGTAAATGTACTTACATTTTCAAATGGGATATTTGTACATAACTGAGGTGATGCGGACAATAAATATTAACACAAAATGGGCAGGTGAGTTGACTGCTTTGTTGTGTTGCTGTGTTGGGGTAACTAGCTGCATCTTTCATCCTTCAGGAATGAAACACTGGTAAAAACACTGCACACCACTGACCGTGCCAAGGTCCAGGGGTTCATTAACATCATTCATCTCTTTCAAACTAAAAGATAGGGCTGTCCTTTGGTACCTTGAATGCCCAAATGACTGCCACAGTTGGGCATAAATACCTTCTCCACTGAATATGTAAGATGAGATATTGGGTGGCAATTCTTTGGACTCCTCCAGAGGAAGGAGAACATCTTCAAATGTATTTCAAGGGCAAGACTTCTCCTAACAGTGACAGTAACAGTACTACTAAAATGCCCTATGGGAAGTCTTCCTTTCTCAGATCTATCCATACAATGTAACTCATGTCAAGAAGGCTACTGGCCAAAGAAGAGATGATTATAGAATGGAAAACTAGGCTTTCTATATTCTGGGAAGCCCAATTCCAGATGGTTTCCTAGCTGTTCCTAGCTGTTGAAAATGTCTCCAGTATTCTTGGTTGTCTTTCATCTGTTCCACTAGATGTAAATTCAAGGTTAAGCCTCATTGCCTTGTCAAATGTGTAAGCAAAGCTGTTCTATAATCTACACAATTTTCATGATTTTGAACTCTAATGGGATTTTGCTAGTCATTAAACCCATCACTAACCAGTGCGACTGTTGAAGATGCATAGAGCTCATAGAGAAAACAGGAAACATGACCAGTTGTAGGAGAATACAAGCTACTCTCGGTTATATTTTTCACCATCACCTTTTGTGGAATAAAATAATTTGGAATGCCTGCTTTGATTTTTCACATGGCCATTGCAATGTTGACCCTCTGTGGATTTTTTTTTTTAAGGATGAATTTTTTTCTTCAGTCAAGACATTCCAAACACTAGACTTTGTATACTTATTTTCTTCAGCTGGGATTTCAGGCTGTGTAACATTCTCATATATGGTACTCAATTCAGATCAGTGTAATCTATAAGAAGTGGATGTCTGTGATTGCCTGATTGACACTTTTGAGTATCAGGTTTCTCCATGGTAGTGAAATAATGGTCAACTCAGTATTTTTTTATTTGCCTTCAAGCTGCTGTTCTTTTTTCTCCTCTGATACCTACTTTGAAAGTTCTCATCTCTAAAAGCCCACTGAAAATTATTCAGAATCAGTCAGTCAAACTTTATTGTGGACCACTGACCCAGACTTCATTAAAAAAAGACAGTATGTAACACAAATTACAATCTAGCATGCATAATAAAAAGACCTGTAGTGCATAACCTACCTTGCTGTCAACAGCATGCAAATTCTACATCCTACAAATATAAACTGCAACAGCAACAGTTACTTTGGGATTTTAATCTGCCTGAACAAGCAGCATGTAGAATTCTTCCAACGTGAAAATGGGCTACAAAGAGGTGTTGATAATAACTCATAGCAGGGGTGTAAGTATAACTGAACAGTGATGGAGGAGAGGGTATAGTCCTGGGGCCATGTTTCCCTCTCCATCCACTTTCTGGGAAATAGCCTGCTTTTTAGTGTGCCCTCCTACCTACTTAACCCATTCACATGCTATTGGTTTGCTGATGGAAGGGTAGAGAGTGGGTGATATTCCTTTCCCAGAGCTAAAATGAAAGGGTATGCCAAGAATGTCCCCCCCCCCCCTTGGCCCCCCTTTTATAGGAATTGTAACAAAGAAACACAGAGGGGGGGGGAGAGAAAAAAAGAAAAGGG